TCACTACCAGCTTTGAGCAAAGCCAATGCCGCAAATGTCTAGAAAGAATATTGAAAACATAGATGCCAAATCTCATAAATTCAGAAAATGGCGAAATTCTCGCGAGTGCGTTCTCCACGCGCAATTCCGCAAAATGCGACACATCGTGGCGAGATGTTTCCAATCATTGGTCATCCGTAAAGAGCATCAAGAGTGTGGTTTGACATTATGTTTGGTAGCCCTACCAACTTCTAGAGGAAAATGGGCAAAATTTGAGGAGCACCACACAAACTTTAATATATTTTTGTAAAAGATTTAGTCATTCATCCCGCCAAGACTACCAGCTTGTTTTGTAAACTGTGCTCCGGAGGAACACCTTGCTGGACCTAGAAGATACAAGACTAACAAGATTCCAAGGAAAGACCTTGATTCTTGCCGTTTCCCTCACATCACTCCAGACATTGGTTCTCGCTGGACCTAAGGTTAATCCGGAGCTGCATCTTGTTTCTTGCTGGATCTTTGCATAATGCGGGCTGTGCCTTTGCACTTGCTAGATCCCTTTACATGACAAGCTGTACCCTGGTTTCTGTTGGGTCCCTTGATATATTCTAGTCTGGAGATTGCTTTTTATGGTTCTCTTAATCGAGGACCAGGCTGGATCTGCCCCCCGGTAAAACTATAGGCCTATGCGAGGCTTGCTCCTGGTTCTTTCTGAATCTTTCGACTTAACAATCAGGCTGGATTCTGGTTGTTACCGCTTCCAACGGCTCCATTCCAGACTGGCTCCTTGGTTTCTCCTGGTTCCGGAACCAGGAACCGGCTCCCGGAAGAAACCCGACTGCGCTCCGCTCAAGACCTGCCTTCTATCACCTGCAGTTTAGGCTAGCCCGCATAACACGTCTGCGGCAGCGGAACAGTTTGAACAGCAAGCGTCCGCGGTCAGCCGTGCACGTGATGCCGACTCCCAGCGTCATCAGATATGGCGGCGCTGAGCTGGCCTCGTCAGCTTCATCACGCGATTAGGAGATAGGATCAGTGCGACTAATAGGGGGGGGGGGGGGGGGTTAAAGAAAGGGATGTCACTTTGGAAGAAACCTGAGATCGATACAGAGGAGAGGACGGACTTCCATAGACATTTAGTTTCGTCAGGCCAGGATCCATTACAGGATCCAGGTGCACTGCATTTGCCTTTAGATTATCGGTGGTGCTATCCACCTTCAATTCCATCTCAGGGGTGATTCTGTCTCTCCGCTTCTCCTAGAGTTTCCCGTTTACAATCAACCGGCGGAGCACTTGTTCCATATTCACGGCACCATAGCTACTTGGCTTAACCCCCCCCCCCCCTGGTCTCTGCATTTTGGATATACAGACCATTCCAAAGCTTTCAGCCTTTGCGGAAGTTCCAGCGCTCTCGAATTTCTACCCGGGCCACGTTCTCCCCGCCACCGCAGCGGGCTCCCACCGAAGACGAACGGTCCGCTTCAAACATTTATACAATCTCTCCTGACCTCCGCAACCCGCACCTGAGGACGACGTCCGCGCGTGCACTGTTGCATTATTGAGGTCGGCCGGCCGTCGACACCAGTCGACTGTTTGCGGGGGCCGTGCTGCTCCTGGAGCCGCGCGTCGCCAGCCGGCACACAACCGTCACGCCAAAATACTAGGCGCGGCGGGGATGGGGCTCAAGCAAGGCGAGCGGTGGAAACGACGGCGAGGGCGGGCGTCAGGCTGGTGGCGCGGCGATGAGGGAAGGCGAGAGGGAAGGAAACGGAGATGGAAGGGGGGAAAAGAACGGAGAGAGAGAGAGAGAGAGAGAGAGAGAGAGAGAGAGAGAGAGAGAGAGAGAGAGAGAGAGAGAGAGAGAGAGAGGAGAGAGAGAGAGAGGAGAGAGAGAGAGAGGGAGGGAGAAGGGGAGAGAGAGAGAGAGAGGGGGGAGAGAGAGAGCACAAAAAATAATGCGATTTATTTGCCTTCCCTTTGCGAAATGCAGGTGGATTTCCATACCTATAATGCGGTTACAAATCATGTATAATGCCATTGACATGCCGTTGTCATCCTGCTCTATTGTGTCAGGGCGTCAGTTTATTTAGCCATTAGGTTAATATGGAATGGCAAAACCCAAATGAAGAGCACCAGAAAAGTTAAGCGTATGATTGTTCTCAATGCCGTTCGTCTGGCCGGCTCAATGTAGCTCATCAGCGGGGAAACACCCGACAAAGTTGACCGCGCTATCTATTGTCGCCTGGAAATAGCATGTTGACTCAATCCAACTAGGATACCTGAAAGCAGTTTGGAGTCTTAGTACTTTTACCCTAGGTGCGCCTCTGTTCCTATCCTATCTTTATTGGTCATTCCTAGTGTAACGCACGAGCCGAGACGATTCTTCGACGCAAAAGGTGGCACGCATGGCTGGAACTTTCCAAAAATGTTGGGGACGCAAATACCATCTCTGGGTACATCTTTCCATGCAATGCCGTAAACCTCACGTTAATATTCGGAGCAGGATGCAGCAGGATGCAGCTACATCCCCCGTTTACAGTAATTTCACCCATGGTGGATGTTTTAAAATGCTACCGTGTGCTGTCGGAAGCCTAGTGATTCGCTTCCAAATTTACCGCATTTGTTTACATTCACACGGATCAGTTGAACGCCACACCTGATAAAACGACCAACAAACACGTTGCAGACGTAAACATGGCAGAGAACACCTTCTCTCGACGGCCACTCACATTGTCTGTTGCTGTCAGCGCTGACAGAGCCGGCTCCGAGCAGCAGCAGCACCGGCAGCAGAGCCGGCCACCAGCGGCGCGGCCAGGCCGGGCGCCGGCCGCCGCCGGCCGGGCCCATGGCAGCGCGGCGTGTCAGATGGGAGGCGCGGCAGCGGTCCGGTGCCCGCTGCCCCCTCCCCCCACCGCCTCGGCCAGACCCTCATCAGCTGCCCCGCCGGCCGCGCCGATTGGTTTATCGATCGACGACGAGCCCCGCCGCCGGCCGTGTCCAGCCCGCGCCACGCCGCTGGAACAGGTGAACGGAGGCGGCGGCTGCGATGACATCTAGCGGACTGTTTGGGCAGTGGTGGTTCGTTTTAGGCGCTAGTGTCCACGCGAGGGTGGTTTGGGCAAGACAAGGACCGCAGGTTGACGTCTCGTTTCGGGGCGCAGGGAGCGAAGGGTTCGCTTAGATCGCGGTTCAGGACGGCTTTTATGCACCGATATTTCGCTTACTCACACCAGCGTCCAAACCCAGGCTAGTGAAGAATGCTCTTTCACGGCGGTCAGCGGTTCACGATTCACAGCTAAGGTTAAACGGCTACTTGTGACATACATAAATATCCTATTATATAGCCCAAACTAATACCAAAAGTTCATCACGGTTGGGCTGGATGCATATGACGCACCAGCACCCGCCACACTATGTAGGAATGCCAGGAGGTGGGATGATGACGTTGACCATGAAGGGGGAGGGGAAGGAGTGAAATCGCCCTGCAGTCCAGGCAAAGGAAAGGGGACCGGGGAGGGGCGGAGGGAAGAGCGCAGCCCCCTTCAGTATCCCTCCAGCATGCATCGGGTACGGATAACTGAATAGGACACTTCCAATCGGTGCATGACGGAGATACCCCAGGTTGTTAAACCGAGGCGAGCTCCGGGAACGGATTACGCGGTCCACACAGCCGGTCCGTACAGGCAAGGCAAACAGGTCGAGTGCCTGTTGCTATGGGCCCCCTGCACCAGCGCTGCATCTTCGTGGTGTCCTTCGACACCCTTCGTCGTATTTGGACAATGTAATGAAAACGTAATGAAAAAAGTCAGTGATAGAAAAACGCGTTCCTGTATTACGAAACCATACACGTACTGCTAGCCTAGGCGCACGATGTACAAAACACTTTGCATGCTCGCCAGCACATACAACGGACATATTTACTGGAAACTGTCCTGCTACCGTCTCTGATCTACACTAATGATACAAAGGCAACCATGGAAAAGAAATGTGCAAACTGCAAAGCGAGCAACGCAATGCCGGGAACCGAGACGCCACGGCCCAACACGAACAAAAAACACAACTTGGTAACGTTATAAGTTGATATGCTCACTTTGTTCAGCAGGCGCGGGGGCGGGGTGGTGGAAGAACCACAGTACAGGGATGACCAGCGAGCGGCCTGCCCACCGCCCGCGCAGCTGTTCTGCGAGCGAGCGGAGCCCGGGGCGGTTGGGCCTGGGTCACTTCACGTCAGTCGCAGGCTGCTTCACGGCGGGACCGTCCCTCTGCCACACTAGTCCAGTCTCGAAGGGCAACGTTGCACAGGTCCCTCAAAATATTATCATAGAACCTGTGTTGGAAGTCCAGAATTGTGCGTGGCTGGTACAATCAAACGATCCGCAAAAGCTGGGAAAACAACGGAAAATTCCGGAAAAGAACGCGTCTTTGCTAGGAACAATGCGCACCATACCTTAAGATAAGTCAGGAAGCATTCATTTTGTTTTACGCATCAGGTCCTAAAAAATCAGTAACACAGCTGGTACTACCTGGGTTTCATCGTACCGACCGCACAATTTTGGCCAGCCACATGCATCCCAGCATCTTTCACAGACACTTGAAATCAGAATAATGATTGCAGCAACTCGGACGTGAAAACAAGAGCCTGGTGGCGGCTCTCGAGCATCAATAAGAGCACCGATCATCGACAACAACACCTGCCGTGCGACCGCCCCGACCACCCGCCTGCACGTCGCTGGGACTGGGAACTGGACCGGACCGGGAAGCGCGACGTTCCAGCGACCGATAGCCGCCGCCGCCGCCGCCGCAAGGAACGCAGACGCGTCGGCGCCGCGAACGGAACGCACCGGCAGCTGGCGGTCGGCCGACGGGGATAGCCGCCGGTCAGACGCGTCGTTCCAGGCAAGCATGGCTGACATGGTCGTCGACGGTGGAAGATATCAGCACGCGAGGTTGGAGCGGCAGCCTCCCGGCACCCGTCGCCTGTCAAAGCTCGCACCGCCCGCGCGACAGACTCAGCGACGCACCCTCAGCACTCCTTCGGAGATGAGGCGACACGTCGCACCACACGCGCTCGGAGTCAGACCGCTGGCCCCGGGGAACACACTTGTCGTCACCGGCGACCAGCCTGGCGCGGCTAACACGCCTGTCGCGCCGCCTGGCGGCGTTACCGCAGCGGCCAGGCCTGCCCCAGGCTGAAGAAGGCCACCGGCCGCGGGCTGGGGCCCATCTTGCCGATGCCGTTGACGCCGACGACGGGCAGACCGAGCTGGCCGCGGCGCTGGCCCACCTGCGAGACGGGCAGGAAGCCACGCACGCCCAGCGCCTCCAGCCGTGCCGCGTCCGCCACACCCAGGTCGAACACCGGCACCACCAGGTCCGCGCCGGGCCGGCCGGCCGGCGGCGCCGCCGGCGTCGGCCGGGGCGCGTGCCGCTGCTGCATGTGCTCGCGCAGCTGTCGCGGCCCGGCCAGCACTGCCGGGCACAATCGACACGGCAGACCCTGGCCGGCGGCCGTGTGTGCAGCCTCGTGCTGCACTAGCGCCGGCCGGCTGCCGAAGCTGCACGCGCACCAGCGGCACGAGAGAGGTCCGGCCGCCGGCGCCGGCGGCCGCGGCACGGCAAAACGCGCGCCGCCGCCGGCCGGCCCCGGCGCCCGCGCCGCGGGGGTGATGGTGATGCCGCGCGTGGCCAGCGCCGGCGCGACGCTGCCGGCGATCGAGGCCGGCGCCGCGACGACCGGCGGACGCGCCGTCAGCGTCACCGACTCGCTGAGGTGGACAGTGGAGCCGGGCGGCGCCGGCGGCAGCCAGGTGTGGTTGGCGTCGGCCGGTGGCGGCTGCAGCTGCGGCTGAGGAAGACGCGACTGTTGCAGCTGTTGCTGTTGCTGTTGCTGTTGCTGCGGTTGAGGCCGAGGTTGTTGCTGCTGCTGCGGCTGTTGCTGTTGCTGTTGCTGCTGCCGTTGCTGTTGCTGTTGCTGTTGCTGTTGCTGTTGCTGTTGCTGTTGCTGTGGCTGTTGCTGTGGCTGTGGCTGAGGCTGTTGCTGCTGCTGCGGCGGCGGAGGCGGAGGCACCATGCGCGGCCGCTTGCCCGCCGACGGGTCGAGCGGCGAGGGCATTCGCAGCCGGGCCGGCCCCGGCGGCAGGCCTGCCGGGCCGAGCGGCGCTCCAGGCCGCGGGTGGAGGCGCGGCCGACCCCGGGGTCGCGTCGTCACGCCCGTCGGCCACCGCGGCGCGGCGCCGTGCGCCGCCACCAGGTGTCGCTGCATCTCGTCCGACGAGCTGGGCCAGAACGGGCAGAGATTACAGGGCGGCGGCCGGCCGTGGTAGAGGGCCGCGTGCCGCTGCGCCGCCAGCGCGTCCGGCAGCGCGACGCCGCACAGCTGGCACTGGTTGGCGCCGGCAGCGGCTGGCCGAGGTGGCGCGCTGGCGCCGCCGGTCGGCCACTGCGGCTGGCCGGGCTCGGCCGGCCGCGGCGCCGCCGGACTGACGGCGGCCGGCCGCGCGCCCTGCGGCGTCACCAACGCCACTGCCGGCGGCCGCGCCACGCCAATTGGGATGAGGTGCGGCAGCAGCGACGGCCCGTTGGTGCCGGCGCGCCGCGTCGCGTCGCCCTCGCCGCCGCCGACGGCGGCGGCCGGCGCTAGGCTGGGTCGCGGTGGCTGCCACGCCGCCTGCGGCGCCAGCATGGCGGCGATTAAAGAGGAGCTTGCGGAAGGCGCGGCCGGCACTGCTGGAGCGGGGAACGGCGCGCTGGGAGCCGCTGGAGCGGAGTACGGCGGGGTCGGTGCTCCAGCTGGAGCTGCTGGAGCGGGGTAAGGCGCGGCCGGCACCGCTGGAGCGGTGTACGGAGAGGTCGGCACTGCTGGAGCGGCGTGCGGCGCGGTAGGTGCCGCCGGAGCACCGCCCGACACCGGCTCGCCGCCGGGCGAGCGGGAGGCCACGCCACCTTGGACTTCAGGGGGGATGTCGTGGCCGCCGCCCACACCAGAACTCGCGACGGCTGCCGACTGATCACCGGACGGGAAAACAGCGGTCTCTGTTCGCTGGCCGGACGTTAAATGTCCGGCCGAATCTGCGCCGTCCGCAGATGGCTGGGTGCGGTTTTCCGGAACGATGACCAATCTGTCGTTTCGCTGCGAGCCCGCCTCGTGACCAGCGGTCGATCGGGTCGCGTGTCCGCTGGTCGGCTGCCCGCTGGTCGGCTGCCCGCTGGTCGACTGTCCGCTGGTCGGCTGTCCGCTGTTCGGCTGTCCGTTGGTCGCCTGTCCGTTGGTCGGCTGTCCGCTGGTCGGCTGGCCGCTGATCGGCTGTCCGCTGGCCGGCTGTTCGCTGGCCGGCTGTTCGCTGGTCGCCTGTCTGCTGGTCGCCTGCCCGCTGGCCGGCTGTCCGCTGGTCGGCTGGCCGTTGGTCGCCTGTCCGCTGGTCGCCTGTCCGCTGGTCGCCTGTCCGCCGGTCGCCTGTCCGCTGGCCGGCTGTCCGCTGGTCGGCTGTCCGCTGGTCGCCTGTCCGCTGGCCGGCTGTCCGTTGGTCGCCTGTCCGCTGGCCGGCTGTTCGCTGGCCGGCTGTTCGCTGATCGGCCTTGCGCCGGCCGGCGCCGCGGCGTCGCCGCTCGGCCGGGGCTCGGCCTGAGCGCTGCCGGCAGCCGGGGTCGGCTCGTGCCGCGAAGGCTGCACGACCTGCACGCGGGGAGAACGTCACACCATAGGCCGGCGCCTCACACGCGGCGGCGGCCCGCCGGCCACCCGCCAGCCACCCCACCTCGAACCTGTCGGCTCGGTTGACTACCCACGGACGTCTCGCCCAATCGCGAAGCCCCACCTCCCCACTCTGCCCATTCTGGACGGGCCGGCGGGACGCTGATGTACTCCAGCGCCAGACAAAAGCATACTTGTGACTCATACATGCGTCACACACCCCGGTTCCCTCCAGAAACAGGTCAACTTGGCTACTGTTAACGTCGTATTTCAGTTGGCACAGGTCTGGCGACGCGATGAGCACCAGCCACATCCGTTGGTGCAAAAAGTGTGAGCAGAGATAAAAAAGTCATCAAACGCCCCATGCACAAAAATGGCTGGGTGAGGCGCCGAGTGCTGATGGCGCATTCCAACAGTCGCATACGGTATGTACGTTGCTCGACGGTACAAAACAGCATGAGGCTGTAGGAATGCAGTTATAACACTCAATCAGACTTAACAGTATCAGCTGCAGCGCATTTTTTAAACTTCAGTCTTCATTGAAAACGAACCTGACCATGAAAGCTAATCTGCAACGGGTCTGAAGTACTTCACTGTTGACGCGCCCAACCGAAATCCGCCGTGCCGGCGCGTTCGGCAGATGGCCGCGGCGCGCTCACAACACGCACTGTTGCGTTCTCGGAGCGGATCGCTACCCCCAGCCATGAGCGGGTACGTCGGCTGGCCCGGCTGAGGTGAGACCACTCGCGGCGCGCCTCGCGACCGAGTCAGAGGCCGGAGCGTACCGCCTCCCCTAGAGAAACATAGCACTGGCCAGTGACAGGCCTCGACACAGCCGCACACCTTGTCTGATACGCCCACACCCACATCCACGGTGCTGGCGGCCGTCCGGTGCCGGTGCGCCTCGCCTAACACGGCCGACCCGGCGGCCGCGCGCCGCCCGCGGTCTCACCTGAAACTGCGCGGCCGGCTCTCGGCTGGCGCGCCGCAGCGTCAAACGCAGGCCGGCCGGCGGCGCCGCCGCCAGCGGCTCCAGCACCACCCGCGGCTCGGGCCGCGTCACCAGGTGGTGGTAGAGGTGGTGGTCGTGGAAGTAGCTGAAGCTGGGGAAGCTGTCGATGCCGCACGTCACGCAGCGCAGCCGGCGGTCCACCTGGCGGCGGCGGAGGGCGTCAGCGGACCGCGCGGCCGGCGGCCGGACGGACGCGCGCCCGGCCCAGGGCGCGGCGGGAAGCCGACAGCACCGGCTGCACATACGGCTGAGCTCTCGGGGTTATGCGCGTGCAGCGGATGCCAGCACAGCAGAGGGCGAGGTCCACGGTCCGCGTGGAGGGGAGGGGTCACGGGGAGCGGGCCGCAGGGCATGGAGTCACGGGAAGGCGGTCACAGGATTGGGATCATGGGGGACTGCTGTCGCGAGCGAGCGGTGGTCGCGTGGGGACGCCGGTCACACGGAGTATGGTCACATCTCAACGCATCGCCGTCCGCAGCGATATAAGAAACCCTCTGATTTTCTGAGATTGCCTCCAAGCCGGGCCAGGCAGGTCCATCGAATTTTCAGTTCCTAAACAATTATCAATTTGGCTACGGCAACTCACTGCACTGAACTGTGACGCCATCAGTGGAGGCCACGACCATTTTCAAGACCATTCTGTGCACTTCACAGCACTATCAAGACCTAACGCCCTCTAGTTTCTGAGCTACACGCCCGCGACTGTGCCGACTATTTCAAGGTCACTCACACATGCATGACGCTACGGAAACGTCATTTAATTGCTGCCATCCCATTGGCTATTAGGCGTTCAAGCTCAAGACGAATATAATCAAGTGGTTCATGTCCGGCGTTCTCAGGAACAGATATGCGAGAACACCACGAAAGAGCCAAAACGCGAGCCCGTAACACTATTTACCTCAGAAAAACCTGCAGCACCGCCGCTGCCACCTCTCGATGAGTTGAAGTACCACAAGTGAACGGTAAGGTGGCAATTTCGCACGGCCAGATTGGCAGCGTTGGCACCACACGCCATAACGCCATACAAACTTCCTCTGACACAATAAAGCAATGATGCACTCAGGAACATAGTTATTAAATAGAGAAATTTGGTTGTCTAGAGTAGTCTTTTCCGCCAACATATATGTATATATATATATATATATATATATATATATATATATATATATATATATAAACCAACCGTTAAGAGCAAGCATACTTCATCATAGCTGACGCTTGCCAAAATATCTTCCAATGGGTACATTCCCTTTGAACGGAGTGACCCACCCTTGCGGTATATTTCAAAAACATACTCTCGTGAAACCTCAGAACCAGTTATCAATCATAACAATGGGTAGTGTCAGTGTAACACCATCAAAACAAAGAAGGATATCAATTTTAATTATTTTTAGTCCAAATTACACCTGTCAAGGTTATGTAACAGCACTGCGTTTCTTTCCTGCAGTCATGACCACCATCATCACGACAACTACCGCGCGCACCTCCACTCGTGCCAATAAAAGAACGTTTGTGATAGGCCCAGCGGGAACGGACTGCTACCCGGAAGCGCATCGGTTGAAGTTTGAGCCAGTGTGTCATATGGATCACGTGATACACCCATTCTCGAAGCAAAAGTACGCCGCAAAAAGAGTCAATGTGGTTAGCGCCTTAGGGGAGCAATCAAAAGCCATAGTGTAACGTTTCATTAAATTCGCGGCATCACCGCTTCATGTTCGCGGACCTTTTTCCCTAAACAGCGTTTCAAGCTTTCATGGCATTTATTATACAAACATTTTGATACCTTAGAGTGTTGATAATATTACAAAACACGCACGTTGGAAACAGTGAGGCAAATAAAATGCACTACTTTCATAGTGGTGAGTAAGGAGCTAAATTATATTTCTCTCACCAGCGTCCGCTACCTTATTTCAAAATTACGAGCTATTTCAAAGATTTTTGAGAAAACTGGTATTACTGATCAAATCGTACGCGTCTGCTGTCACAATAAGTAAAAAGCAAAAAGGTGGGACACTTCCTTCAAAGCGAATGTTCCACAGTTGAAAATATCCATGCAAACATCAGAAATGATGGAATAAGGTGACTTCTAAGTTTCGTTTGCTTCTACGTGTTTAAAGACTGCTCTTGACAACGCAATTTTAATATTTAGTAAATATATCGCTCAAAAGGAATCGCTTCATTAAATCACGGAACGTCTTTATCACGTCATGTTCCTGCCTGACTAGGTGCGTCAGAATTGCCCCTGTAGCGGGGGGGCTTACTCATTTGTAGTACTTCAATCTCCCGAAAGGTGGCCGTGGCTGTGCTGAAAGTGTCTGCTGAGTCGGATATCGTTTAGCGCTCCTGTTCTGACCCTTCCTCGTGGAGTTCTTGCATATCTGCCCTGATCTCACATCGTTTACCAACATTCACATTCGCAGTTATGGTACCATTCTCACATTATTTTGTTCCCAGTCTTATTTCCGTCATAACTTGACGACTGCCAACCTTCCGGTATTACATGGCACAAAACGTCTTGTTCTTAAATTACACTGAATTCATGACATTGGTTGAGGGCCGACTGTGCTGCGCAAATGCTAGAAATTGTCCTGGAATACGCCAAGCGCCGACAACTTGATAATCGCAGTTTTCTTGGCGTCGGACACTATTCGACCAATGAGGTGACAGTATTCGCGTGACGTTTCCGTGGCGTCATGCATACCTGGGTGAACTTCAAAGAGTCTGTACGAAAAAGTCGGCACATGTTCGCGGGCGGCCAGCTCAGAAATCAGAGGGTTTCAAATCCTCACACAAATGTGGAACATTCCGTCTAAAATACTCGCCGGCGGCAACTGAACGATCGGCCATAACGCCATCTCCCGGCGCGGCGTAAAAAGCCACGCTGCAACCCTTTCCCTTAAAATTATTTGCGAGTCTTCTAGGGCAAACAATTATCAACAAGAGTGGTAAATGGAGCGAACGAAACGGCAAACACGCTGGAGTAAGTATAAACGACAAGTTTTTGATGGTTTTTGTGGTGGCGTCTTGCATTCGGCATTATTTTTTCGAAATAACAAAATTCACAAATCGTCCCGTAGTTTGCAGCACAGCAGTGCGTTGCGCACAGTTGCGTTACGTGCACGAAATGTAGATGGTGCATTGATGGATGTTAGGAAACTGGATTCATGCTTCTACCTGCACTGGGCGTCGAGATGTGACCCAAAGCACAAAAGTGGTCGAAGACGGCCAAACCCATATTATCAGCTCGTGTGCACGTGCTAGCGTGAACTTAGTGCCACCCGATTTAAGCTTCCATGACTCCATCTTAGCAATAAGACCAGAAAAAGGTACTAAAACGCATAATGCAAAGGCAGTATTTTACCCATCTTCTTATAAGCTAATGTATTCCGCTATGTAGCAAGTCCGTCCAAGGTAACTGGAACACCGGGTGGCGAACCCACAACAAACATCCCATTGGATGGCCTTGACCATACGCCATGCCCCACTGGAAGATCAAGTGGGAGCCAGGATCCACAGTTTCTTTTTGACGAAAGAACCAGAGGGAACCAGAATCCAGGGTGTTGTTTTGTCGAAAGAGCCAGTGTGAACTAGGATCCAGGGTTTCGTTTTGTAAGAAGGACCCGTTAGAGCCAGGATTTAGGATTATATTGGTCGAAAAACGGAAGGAGCCAGGATCCATGGTCTTGGTTTGTCAAAGGAACCAGTGGGAACCAAGATTCAGGGGTTTGTTTTGTCGAAAGAGCCAGTGGGAACCAGAAACCAATACTTGGAACCAGGCATATGTCTGTAACGTTACACACCAGGGAGTGGGATACCGAACAAAAGTTGTTTGATAGCTCCTTGCACAAAGCACAACGTCGTGCAAGGAAAACTACTGGGTTGCATCCGATAAATTGATGTCAAATATTCAGAAAAACACCGATGAGCACCGCATCATAGACAGGAACAGGGCAACGTGGCAGCATGCTCAAATGGAAGTGAGATTTGCTGGCGTAGTGATGACGCCGAGCTGTATTACCACCAACTGAGAGAGGACACAATCCCGTATACCTGGAGAACAATATCAACTAAGGCGCACCAACGAACCGTGATGTACTTCCTAAACCGAAATTGTTCTGGGAATGCATGGGAATGCATTCACGCTGTCTAGGCTACACTGCTATCTGTTCACTGCTTTCTCCCTCAGACACTCCCCGCAAACATGCGTCATGCAGTTCCATCTCCTCATATCACAAAGTTTTCACGATAAAATAGTACTCAACGAGCTCGCCGGTGGCCAGAGCTACCGTATGGAGCTTTGGGTCCTGGAGATGCAAATAAACAACGCCAACGGCAGGCAGCATCACTGCCGCCACCGCTGGTAAACAGTTTACTCGACCACTTTATGCAGAGTTCCAGCACAGAACCATTTATTTGCCTTTCAAAGCAGATATACCAACGTCTCCATAAAAATATAAATAGCGGCAACCGACCCAACCGGTTGCAGAACAAGCAATTTTTCTCCTTCGTCCTGGTGCATTCGTACCTTAATCGCATACCAGTGTGCATTTGGCGGCGCCAGAACAATCGCTTGCCCTTATGCTAGGAAACCAAAAACTGTTGCTGCATCTCTTCTCAGCTCGCTTTGATCTACACATAATGCGCTATCATTTTCCTCTCAAAAGGGTCTTCAAAATGCCTCACATTAATATCGCTCTCACCGCCTGTCCGCGATCGGTGAAGCCTCGCAGCAGGACAAACCAGCCAGGGGCCAGACCTCTCTCCCCGCCCTCCCCCGAACCAAACAAAGCTATCAAGGCCAGCGGAGCCAGGGAGATGAACGTTGATCCACCCTAACTGGCGGCCGCTCGGACCACAACAAAAGGGGATTAGTCGACTCGCGGCGTTCTACCAGCTGCGGAAAAACATCGGCGACAGCGTGGAACACGGCCGGGCAATACCGGGCTATGGTCACGATTCGGTGGGAGCATGACGAATGCAGTCCTGCTCTTGTGCAGATACACGTTTGAAGGGTAGCGCGACTCGAAGGCACCACATCGTTGATTTCTCGGGCTAAGAGACGGTCCAGTCGCGCTTTTCTTTTGTTCTCACCTGACGTCAGGCGTGATGGATGAGAACAAAAGAGGAAGACCCACACACCG